ATTTTCCTGGAGTCTCTTTAAATATCATAAAGTAAAAAGTGCACAAACACACACAAAATTATGCCAGTATGTCAAAGGGGGCCAAGAACCAATGGAAAGACCTCCAACAGCTGAGATAGAGCTCACTGGGAAAATAAAATAAATGTAGTAGTTGTTTCTATTATTGTTAAGTGCTGTGGAGTTAGTTCTGACCCTTAGTAAACCTGATCAGGGTTTTCAAGAAGCAGCTGGTGTGTTTGAACCATCAAACTTGTGATTAGCTATCCAGTGCTTATCCTACAACACCAGACAGTACTAGCATTGTATTATAAAGTACAGCAAAACCTACACAAGCTGGAGCCTGTCAAGGCAAAAATCTGTCCCAAAGAAAAACTCAAACATTTTCTACTAAAATAAGTGATAGAAAACTGGTCAAAACTCTTCTAATAAGTGACCTAAGTAATTTCACAAAATGACTCACTACTCACTTAAACCAGAAAACCCTACAAAACCATGCAAATCAAGAGGTTAAAATTTCTGGGTCCATTTTAAGAACACTTCTGAAACTGCCCAGGCCATAAAAGCATGCTTATTCAAAAAGCCAAGCGTCTTAAAGATGTCACTTTGCTGAAGCAATATTTGCCATTCCGAATTACAATGGTGGCATGGGTAAGTGTGCCCAGGCCAAACAGTGGGGTTGGACACAAGGTAGGTGGCCCAAAAAGAATACTGAATTTTTGCTACACATGCTTAAAAATGCAGAAAGCAATGCTGAACTTAAGAGTTAGATGTGGATTCTCTGGTCAGTGAGCACATTCAGGTCAACAAAGACCCCTATATACTCTGACAAACTTATAGAATTCATGGTCTGATCAACCCCTACATGAGTTTCTCCTGCCACATTGAGATGATCCTCACTGAAAAGGAACAAATTGTTCCTAAACCTTCCTAAGAGAAGGTTGCACCGAAGAAAAAAATATCCCAAAAGAAACTGAAAAAACAAAAGAACAGCTAGAGTGACAGAAGATACATCTTCATTTTCAAAGATAGATCATCTGGAAAAACCCAAAACAAAAATGGCAGTATGACAAGAATAAGCAAGTTGTTCACCGGAAAGCCATCAAGGCAACCAATCAACTTCCCTCAGGATAAATCCCTCTCTGAGACTGAAACTCAAATGGAACACATGAGCAGGCACGTAAGCTTGCTGACGACCACATTATTTCTACTGGTGATTGGAAGAGGGGGAAAGGCAGCAATGACAAAATGGGCTGATTTGACCACGTTCTATGAACTCCTGTTGACCTGGAGATGAGAGAAAGAAGGAAGCCCTGTTAGGTGAGACCTGGGGATACCTGAGCCCATGAACAAGGACACAGAGGGCTAGAGCTGAGAAGCATCCAGCTGATATGAAGGGAAGGGAGATACACAAGAACACCCAAACTTGCAAATAGTGCCTATTTGACCTAGCCTTGACAGCTTGATGATCAGAAGTCGGTTAGAGGAACACGAAAAAAAAAAAAATTTTTTTTTTGATAAAGGAAATGAGGATAAATTTCTACAATTTGATGAACTTGACCTTTGCTCATGGAGGTGGTTGTTGTTGTTGTTATGTGCCGTGGAGCCGGTTCCGACTCATAGCGACCCTGTACAGGGTTTCTGAGGCTGTACATATTTAAGGGATCAGAAAGCCTCATCTTTCTCTTGCAGAACAGCTAGTAGTTTAGAACTGTTGACATCGCGGTTCTAAGTTGTAACCTCTACGTTACAGCCTGATTTGTAACCTCTATGCTACCAGAGCTTCTTGTTGTTTGCCGTGGAGTCGGTTCCGACCCATAGCGACCCTGTACAGGGTTTCCGAGGCTGTAAATCTTTACGGGAGCAGAAAGCCTCATCTTTCTCCCGCAGAACAGCTGGTAGTTTCAAACTGCTGACCTTGTGGTTTGCAGCGCGATTCGTAACCACTACCCTACCAGAGCTCCTTAACCAGAGCTCCTTAGTAGCTCTAAATGCCAGAAGAGAGGGAAGGAGTCTTCACATCAAATATCAATGGTATTCCCTCTGTACACAGAGTAGATAGGAACAGGCAACTTCTACATTGGCTACCTAAAATGAGGAAGTGCTAAAGGCTTGAAGTAAGTGACTGGCTTACAAGGTATCAAGAAGAAGTTTAGTTTAAGAGTCTGTGAGGGAAGATAGAGTCCCCACTGAATAGTTTTCATCTTGTCTAGATAGGTCTAGTAAAAAGTGATGGGGATAAGATTCTTATGATTCAATAGTAATTGTTATCATGACTAATTGTGACTGTCACAATTGTAAAGGTAGATGTTTTGTACAAAAATAGGGCAATAGTTAATCTTACAGTCCAAAAACAGAGGACCTTAGGACCATCAAGGGA